TATATATATATATATATATATATATATATATATATATATATATTGTTCAAATTTTCAATCGTAAGCAAAATACTTTCTGTTCATCCATTCACAAGTTTAAATACATTTTTTTAAACTTGTAGTAGATGACACTTGATGTTAATACAGTTTTTTCAAATATTAATTCATTAATTCTATTTAATTAATGAATTAATATTCCCTGTAGTGCACAATGAATAGCACCCTAGACTTCTAATCTGAAGGTCGTGGATTCGAATCCCACCTGGGATGGCTCAATTTCTGAGAATGTGATTTCCATTTAACTATATATATACTGTTTTATTAGAATAATTAAATTTAATTAGTGAATAAATAGTAACAAACAAGAAAAATAGTTTAACACCCTATATAGAAAAGAAAATGGGAAAAAAACGCTTTCTATTTTGTCACTTAATGCTGTTCTTCTGTCATATGTATATACATATTTATATTAATTGTAACTGTTTAATACAAAGTTACTAAAATAAAATTTTTCTTGTTGACCTAAGTAGGAATTGACTTAAAAAAATTTTTTATACTGTTTATACGTGTAACTTACTTTTTCCTGACAGTTTAAATTCTATTAACCATTACCAGATTCACGTTATTTTTCTTTTATACGGATTTTCATAATTAAAATAAAGAAAAACGCAATTTAAGCTTTTTTCCTTTTTCACAAGGAAAATTGCTTTCTATTTTGTCATTTAATACTGTGATTCTGTGTCATATGTATATGTATATTTATATTAATTGTAACTATTTAATAAAAAGTAACTAAATAAAAATTTTCTTGTTGACCTAAGTAGTAATTGACTTTAAAAAAAAATTTTTATATTACTTGCTTTTAATATCCACTACAAATATCTCTGAACCATACGAGGCAAATACAATATCCGAAATATTTTCCGTCCATCAATGAACAGTGCAGGCACAGTTTCTCCCTAAGAGTTACCAGCAGCAGAAAATCCGAAATTGTGTCAAAGTAAATATTGTGACCTGGTCTGATTCTTCTCAATCTGAAAGTAGTAAGGACTCATGGGCCTGAATAGTAATTGGTCTCTTGGACATAAGCCATTCACACTTTTCTTTTTATCATTCTTTCCTCTCTTCTATTTTTTTTTTCCTTTCGACACACTTAAGGCTTTTGTTTTTTATCTGGCATCGTGCGTAGGTAACAGCTCGTCCGGTCACGAAGAGATCTAGAAGAATGACTGAGGTTGATCCAATCCGGCCATTCTGAGTTCTTGTCACGTCCGGGAGCTTGAACCAATACAGTCGTCGCAAGAGACTTTCTAGTAGTGGAGTGTCTTTAGAGAAAAGTACAGGACAAGGGTCGTCCAGTAAAGAAACTGGCTGGTAAAGGTATTAATAGTCTTATACGATTCAGCAGATAGCATTTTATCTAATTTAATAAGAAAATAATAAAGGTCAATTGAATAGAAACTACTTTATAAATTAAGAAAAACTATACTAAAACTGAAATACAAAGTAATTATGTCAATATTGCTTTGGTAATCATTGGTATTTGGATTCCCATAAATACATGTATTTATAAATATAAACGTATTACATGTACGTTTTAATAGTTTATTTCTCGGCACTTTCCTTACGTTTGGAGCAATTTTAAATTGTAAAAAGCATATATAAAATAAGGAAAAAATTTTTAAAAAATTAGGGGGAAGTCATATAGTTATAGCAAGCATAATTTTACGCATTAATTTTTTTTCTAGCCATTTATAAAAAAGATGTCTTTCTTTTTTATTCCAAATAATTCTATATAATTTTGTTTTTAAGATAAATATGCTGGAATGTTTGTCCAGAATTTGCCTTTTTTTATTATAATGAAAACAAACCAATTAAAAATAGCTTTTTGTATTTTTATCTAAAACTATTTTTTTAAAATTTATATTATTGTATAATATTATCATTAATTATTCACATAAAAAATTTTAGGTGGAAACAAAAACTTTTTTAAATAGTTTAATGATTGTGCATTAAAATTTATTTAAAAACAAACAATAACCTTTGAAAAATGTGGAACTATCAAAATATTATAATCTGCATTTTAGTAATTCCTTTATTACCGGATATGAAAATTCAAAAATACTTGATATTAAAAATCTATTAAAGAGTTACTTTAAATTAAATTTCTTTACTTTATAACGTTTTTAATATATTATTATATAAAATGCTGCAAATGATTCAATAAAAAAGTGCGTTTTTCGACTGATATATTTATTATCTTTATATATACTGGAATATATATTTTAAGTAAGGTATCTTTTTTTTTTCTTATAAATTCAATTCCGTTTTTTTTTTTTAAGAAAATTGACAATATTAAAATATGTTAACTTTCTAAGATATTTTAAAAAATCTTAGACAGATTTATATATAAAAACATTAAAAAAAGTTTCGAGTAAAAATTTAATTGATTGATATTTTTTGTAAACATTTTTAATGTAATAATTTACTAAAATTCCTTATTCAACGTCATTGAGTTATCAAAAAAATATTCACATGGTGTTCAAGTTTTCTCTATGTTTTATTTATATAAGTTATCAACATTGCGATAAGTTCCTTTCACGTTGCTGTAAGGTATCCGACTATGTTCGGAACCGTGATTTTGCAAAAGCGCATTAATGGATAATTTTCATGATATATAGTGTCACTTAGATTAGAATACATGCATAAAATGGTTTTAAGGACATTTTGACAAAAAAAAAACTTATTTAAGTACAGCATTTTGGGAAAATATTAACTTACAATAACCTTTTTTCAAAATGTTTTCCTTTGGTGAAAAATGCTTCTATTATAATAATATTTTGCCTGAATATAGCTGAGACCTCTCTACAGAGGCTCAACTAGAATTTTTGAAATATATAACTTAGAAGTGGGTTTATCCATATTTTACGACAACAGGGGGAGAGCAATTTTAAGAAAAAAACGCTAATAATTATTTTAATGGGTGGTAACTCTGAAAATAATGTGAATTTTTCAAAAATTCTAGTTGAGCTTCTGTAGAAAGGTCTGAGCTATATACAGGCAAAATATTATTAAAATAGAAACATTTTTCACAAAAAGAGAACATTTTGAAAAAAGATTATTCTAAGTTAATTTTTTGCCAAAATATTGTACTTAATTTTTTTTTTGGTCAAAATATCCTTAAAACAATTTTATGCATGTATTCTAATCTGAGTTACACTAGATATGAAAATTATCCATTTGTGTGCTTTTCTAAAATCACGGTTTCGAACGTAGTCTGATATCTTAAATATTTTGCAAATGAATTTACAGAATACTACATATGAGATTTTATAAATATAGAACAGAAGTGTATCGAATTTGTAAAATGCAAAAATTAAATTTCCTTTCTCCTTTTAAAAGACAATATAAATATTTTGAATTTATTTTAATGTGATGTTAGAAAACAATGATTGTCATTTTCATTTAATAACAACATTTCCTATCAACATTCGTGAAGCTTTTCGTTACGAAGAAATTCAATTATCAGAAATAGCGCTTTTAATTTGCTAGTTTATTCTTTCATATAAGGCTTAATTCATAAATTGAATCCGAAATAATAACACTAAAATAAAAACACTATTTTTTGTTAAAATTCTGAAGTATGTATACTACACATGCTTCTTTTTAAATATGCTCTCTAAATTTATTGGTATAAAATCATTGTAATTCAATTTATTTTAGTACTATAAGCTCCTTTTTAATTGCATTTTCAAATGTAATTTTAACGAATATGTGTCTAAAATAAAATGCTTTTTTCACGAATCAAGCAGTTCGCTTACCCTTGAGATATTTTCCTTTTAATCACGCTCTTTTTACTTCATCACTATTCGAAGAAGCAAGGAAACATTAAAAGTAATCCTCTTAATTTTCGATACAGAATGAGATATTCTTCTTAAATGTAAGAGGATAAAAATTTAATTGAATAATGAAAGATTGTAAAATAAAATGGTTTACTATTCGCACTTGAAAGATATTATAAATTTATATAAAAAATATCTATTTTACCATATTACTTACCTTTTCATTAAAGTTAAATTTGAAAAATGAAGACTTTTGTAATCTTTTGAGAAACTGTTCCGTAATAAACTAGGAATAAATAACTTTGAATATGGGTGTGGTAAATAAATTTAAGAAGCATGTCCAAATTCAAATAAAAAAAACAAGGTGTGACACGCAAAAAAAACTAAATTAAGTGTGCAACTTGAAAAAAGAGTAGAGTTGGCAACAACTGTTTTGTTGACGTCATCTCACACACCTCCTCTATCCATGTGGTCAGTTTCGTCGTAATAGATCCTGCCAGTAGGGAATACTGTGTCATTGAGTGAACACGTGCAACTGTATTCTACCAGAAAAATGTCGAATAATCATCAAGTTTCTTGTGAAACTTAAGAAATCTCCCACGAAAACATTTCAAATATTAACCGAGGGTTATGGAGATAAAACTTTATCTAGTGCACGTGTGTTTGAATGGTATAAGAGGTTTTCAGGTGAATGAGTGAATGAATATTAACATCGCACTGTTCAACTACATGAGGGCTTTTGGCGACGGATCACGTAATTTTGAACCATGGTCAAGTGACGTGAACGACACCTGAGCTGGCAGCCCCTCTCCTAACTACCACACCAACGGGAGGACGTTTCAGCTCTCGACAGATTTAACGTGCATCGCTGCCCTACACGGCGGGTCTTTAGTGGTACTGGGCTCGAACTCATGACATGTCTGCCATGATCCGATACCTTGACCACTGGGCTACCGCAGCCCTGAGAGGTTTTCAGGGAGAAGGATCAATGCAGAAGAGGATGAACCTGCTGGGTGCCCAAGGTTAGTAATTACTGACCAAAATATAGCTAAAATTCGCAATATCAGTCTGTTCCCCTCACATCAGTTCTCAGACTGTTAATCGACACTACTGCATTGAAGTTCTAAGAAAAAACTTCGTGAAAAAAATTAGTGAGAAAAGGCCAGAATTGGATAGTGATGGATCGCTGTTGCGCGAAGAAAATACGCCCACTCAGATGGCCCTATTTGTTAGGCAGTTTCTGACAAGCAAAAACATTATTGCGATGGGGCATCTTCCTTATTCACCTGATTTGGCTTCATGCGTTCTTTTTTAATTTTCTACAGTTAAATCTTGCTGAAAGGGGGAACCCATTTTACCTGAGTTGAAGAGGTTCAAGTAAAAATGGAAAATCTCCTTAAGGGACTTCCAAAACCCTCATTCCAGAAC